CCGTGTCACCTAGTTGCCACCCAGATGCGCCACTGCCACTGGTCTGCCCATGTTTCCACCAGAGAAAAATTATTCTTTCCAAAAGTGTGGTTCGTCTAAGTTTCAAACATCCCATATGCAGAGACCGGGGACCTCACTGTGTCCCGTGAGCAGCAGAGCGGGGAGGGGTGAAGCCACGCGTTCCCGGCGGCCCGTCACCTTGTGGACGTGGTCCGGCTGGGGCTGCGGGCCTGCTTCCCTCTGCGGGTCGCCCCCAGCTGCCACCTGGGCCGTGGGGCGTTCTGCTCTTAGCAGCTCTCAGGCCTCCTCACGTCGCCGGGAGGTGGCCCGTCCTCGGCTTTTCTGCAGAACGTCCGAGCTCTGGTTGTGTGATGGGCTTGCTTTATTGCGTGACGTGAGGACCGGAGCTGCCAGCGCTCTGGTCCGCCGGCAGGGTGCCTGATGCTCGCTGCGCCGCCGTTTCTTGCTAATGAACATGTTTGAAACAGATGTCGCTGCTGCTCACCCATCAGCGTTGACGCTGAACCTGGACAGCGCACGTCGTTCTTTGTGACTTGAGGGGCATTGCTGCACCCTCGCCATGGGATCCGATTTCTGGGTCCCATTTTATTGACGGTTATGTTTGGAGACTAACGTTAATTGAAGTGTCAAAATAGTCTTAATCTTTTACACTGAATCTTTTGCCTTCCAAGTCAGGTTTCTCCAATATCCAGTCTCTCGTTTAGACTTCCATGGGCCGATTACTGTAATTCCTTTTATGCCATTATCTTTGAAGTCCTAATTAAGAGAGCTCACTGGGTTTAAGTGTAGCTGATACATTCAAATAGAACTCGATGCCTGCCGTTCAAAATACATTTTGTCTTGATTACATATTTGTGCTTTATACGGTGGAAGGCTAATTTTTAAATTTCCTTTCTGGCTTGCAAATGACTTCCAAGGACTGAATTCAGAAACGCTGTCCAGGTGTAGGTGGGTAATTAGGCGTGTGTTTAAAACAACGATGCATCCACAGCCAAAATTGCTCAAAGCCCTGTCGACGTGTGACCTCTGGGCAGCGGTTTATTCCATCCCAGTCAAGGTAGCGGATCTCAGGGAAGGAAGGAATGTTTCTCCAGATTCCGCCTCAGGAGACTGGTTGGCCCAGCCCCTCGCAGACCTGAAGGGACATCTGAGGGTCAGCTCTGGGGCTTGTCTGGTCACCGCTGGTCTCGCAGGCGGGCAGGGCGGGCAGACGTCCCGTGGTAGGAAGGCTCCGCCGCGACCGCAGGGCTGACGAGCCGCCTGCCCCTGCAGTCACAGCCGTAGCGACTGAGCAGGGAGGTGGGCTTTTCATGGCGGTTCAGGGACTTGACTATTTCAGAAGTCGGCATCGTTGGCATTTGGCTGGTGGCTGCTGCGCTGTTGGACAGCGTGGTCCGGCACGAGGCTTCGCGCCTGTGGTGGGGACAAATCCGTGAGTGTGGGCGCAGTGCCCTCCCCCACCTCCCAGTAGAGCCGCCGCCGCCTCCCACCTTCCTGGTTGGCAGCGCTTTCAACTCAGGGCTTTGAGCAGCTTCCTCCAAAAGGGTCCCAGTGATTTTAACTCAATCCCGGACGCACTGGGAGGCCCCAAACGCACGGGCATGTCCCGGACGCACAGGAAAGGTCCGCCTCATCCAGGCCTCTCTGTGCAGATCCCACAGGGAGGAACTCACCCAACTGAGCAGATGTGCTTTCAGCATCTCAATTTTTAGTTTAACACAGTTTCTACAGAAACCTCCCTGAAATGTGCTCGCCGCACGGCCCCTCCCGTGTCGGGCGGGGAACGCAGCGCGCTGGCTCGGGAGCCCAAGCCAGTGCCGTGTGCCCAGGAGCAGAGGCGCTTTCTGAGCGCCCCCGCCCCTCGGCCCCTCGTTCCAGGGCAGCCCCCTCCGATGGTCTGGTCTGAGATGAACGCCAAACCCGAACTGGCTCAGCCACTGGATCGGCAAACACAGGCGGATTTTCCTCTCGCCCCTGGGAAGCCACCGCAGGAAGAAACCCACGGCAGGGAGGTGTTCGCACCTGGGCTCAGAAGTAAAAACAAAAAGAAAAATATAAAAAGCTAGTCAGGACTTCAGCTCCCTGAAGATATGAAGTAATCATTTAACGCCATGTTTAGAAATGTCTCCCCATTGATTTGTCCGCTTTTGCAAGATGTGCACACATCAGTAGAATTCTATTGCTACGTTACACTTAGATTTTCCTGTTGTATTTAACACACGCTCATGCATGTGAAGAAAACGCTGGGTCATAGCTGGTTATCGGTGAGTTCAGTCTGGAGGTGTGTTTTCAAACTGCAAACTCCCAGACACAGAAGACAGGCAATTATTTTTGCCCAAATTGTTCAACCGCATGATCGAATGTTTTTCTTCAGTGTGTAAAATGGTTTTTTTAAGTTGCTTATTTAATCCATGGCAGCATATTAACACAATCAAAATTTTAAATTCTTTCTTTACCGTGTTTCCCAGCTTCTAACCCTCACCATAATCAGCCATTTAGGAACACGCTTTGCTCTCTCCGCCCGCATCGTGCGTGCCAGCAAATGTTTGCCTGCGAATGAGCAAATGAGGCACCGACACACCTCAGCTTTTTAAAAGACCCTGTCTCCACGTTACTCTTTTTCCTAAGGTATTTTATGTGCTGCCATTGCTGCTTCCTCAGGACTGACACCTGAGACCTGACTTTTTAATTATAAAATTCGAAAACACTAAGTTAACCAGGAATATAAGCTCTGTATGGCTGCGCTGTGAACAGGCCCACTCAGGAGCCCGTGAGGAACCGCCTCCCATGCACGCCAGGCCCCTGAGGGCCACCGTGGCAACGGGCAGAACGTGTGCTGCACGCCCAGCTCGCGCCTTCCCAGAGGAGCCTGTCGGCTGCGGTCGCAGGGTGCGGCGGGGCCCGGGGCCTGGGCCCGGGGGCGCTGTGAGCGCCTGAGCTGTTTCTTTAACTGCTGTGAGACGCATCGTGCTCCAGTGTTGGGCCTCCCTTATCTGTATTAAATCTACACCACAGGCAGGGTCACGGGGACAAGGATGAATGTTCTCGGACTCGCAGAGGTCCCTCCAGGCCCCACTTCCTGCAGCAAGAGGCGGCACAGACGCTGTGGTGGGAGACACCCAGGCCCCGGGGCACCCCGCCTCACGTCCCACACGCCTTCGGGAGAGAGCTCAGGCTCCAGGAGGGTGCCTGCGTGGGGAGCGGAGAGATGCGCGCCCGGCGTTGTCACGGGACAGGGCCCAGCCTCCATGCCGGCTGGGCGGGTGGATGCGGGAGCCACGTGAGAAGCAACGCCAAGGCACGTGCTGGGCGCTCGGGTGCACGTCTGCCGTTTCCCAGGTCGCTCTGTAGGAATAGAAGTGCTTTCCTTGTCCGTGGTGAATCAGGACCCCTCACGCCGTGCACCAGAGACCTTGCGGGTCCTCTCCCAGCCGGGCCTTCCCTGCTGCCCCCGCCGCTGCAGCTCAGCAGCCACCTCCCGTCCTGGTTTGGTGGGGTGGCCGGCCGGCCTGCTGGCCCGCTGAGCAGGGTGGCAACAACCCGCCACCGCTCTTCAGCCAAGATGGCACGCCCGCCCCCCCAGCTTCCCTGACTCCCGGTCAACGCCTCGCGTTCAGCCCCAGTCCAGCCGTTCCCCTGGCAAGGCTGAATCACACCGGAGGAGAAAGTTTTTAAAAAACAGGCGGTTTCAGCTGCTTTTCTGGGGCGGAGTGAACACTTGCTCTCCTGGCCCGTCCTGCCCCTGTGGCTGCCCACGGAGCCTCCACATCCGTTTAAAGATGTGCCACCGTGTCCACGGTCCTGCCTCATTTTTGTGCCTGAAGCTCAGATGATCCCGACGTGGCAAACTTGCTTTGTTTTGTTTCTCAAAGTTTATTTGAGATTTTATCAGGAACGTCTATTCATACAGATCAGAGAAAAATCGAAGGCCCGGGGGCAGGTCCAGTCCCCACAGGCAGGAAGTGGGGCAACAGAGGAGCTGGGCGGTGGCGGGGCAGACTCTCGGCCTCCGAGGTTCCGGGGGAGCCTGCTCCGTGGGTCCCTCTCGGGACAGGCTCGCATGCAGGTCCGACCGCACGGCCTGCTCTGCACTGTGACGAGGCCCCCGGGTCCCTCCAGGCGCTTTCGTGCCTTCGCCCTTTCCAGGAAAAGAAAACAACCAACCGCAGTCGGGCACCCACTCGTGCCAAAACAGAGTTCTAGGGATAGTTCATTCTTGCGGTAAAGACAGAGAACGGCCCGAGCCCAGCAGTTATTTCCAGTGAATGGGGGAGCTTCTACGAGATTTTTAATGAGCTCTCATCTCCAAATGTATCTGTTCCTCCAGTGGCTTCACCGCACAGCCAGAGTGCGTGGACGCATGTGGCGCAGGGTTGGAGGTGCAAGGCTGCCCGCGGGTGGGAAGGCGTGGACTCACGGGTGGGGTGGGCGGGGAGCCCCATGGTCCTTACCAGTGGCCTCCACGTGGTACCCTGTGGGGACAGACAGGCTCTGACATGACACATTTTCTCCATCACAAAAACACCTACTTACTAAGCATTTTCGGGCCACACAGAGAAGAGGAAGCAGCCCCACACACGGCCACGTGGCGATGGCCGTGGCGGGTGGGTCCGGGGGCCCCGGCTCTCCACCGACGACGTCTCAGTCCAGAAGTGACTCCGTGTGTCCTGCTTTGTAGTGGCGTTGCGAAACAACTGTTTCCCCGTGGTGCCGTGACCTGTGTGAGGGGGCCCGTGGCCACCTTCTGCCTCAGGAGCCACCTCATGCTGTGGCCATTGCAGGGTTTCTTGGTGTGTTCACTACGTTTTGCTGTTGACACGCAGCCGTGAGGACCGTCCCTGAGCGCACGGCCTCGCCCCCGCTGCCGCCGTCTTCCCGGGCCGGCGGTGGGTCACAGATGCCGTCCACCAGCTTGCACGCGGGGGTGGGGAGGCGGGGGACGTGCCTGTGCTGACCTGGGACTTGCCTGTCTCCTGCAGCTGTCTCGTACACAAACTACAAGAAAACACCGCCGCCTGTGCCCCCTCGGACCACCTCCAAGCCCCTGATCTCGGTGACGGCCCAGAGCAGCACGGAGTCCACGCAGGACGCCTACCAGGACAGCCGCGCCCAGAGGGCGTCCCCGTGGGCCCAGGACGGCCGGGGCCTGTACAACTCCACGGACAGCCTGGACAGCACCAAGGCCATGAGCCTGGCCCTGGAGGCGGCCGCCGCCCAGCGCCTCGCCGGCGACAAGGCCGAGGACTTCCTCCGGGGCCGGTGCTCCTCCGTCGGGATCCAGGTAGCCTCTCTCGGCCGCGGGACGCGGGCAGGCAGACGCAGCCGCCCCTGCTGGGCCGGCGCCCGGCTCACAGCAGAGCCTCCACCCTGCGCGGCGCCCGACCTGCTCCCCAGAGGCCCCTCCCTGCCCCCCCCCACCCCAGGGTGTTGCCTAGGGGCCGCAGGCTGCTCAGAGAGCAAGGAATTCAGTCATTTTGATGCTGAAGGAGGACTTCGTTGTGAATACGATTTTTAAAGCTTTCCAGTCGTGCGGCATGGGGGGGTCTCTGGGAACATGCAGGCAGAGAGAAAGCGGGGCCTCCGGTCCCCACCCGGGCCGGCACTCACAGCCACGCCCACGTGCGACGCGCCCAGGGCGCCTCTACGCGGACCCAGGGTGCTCTGGAGCTTCGGCCGTGGTCGCGGCACCGCGTCCTTGGCTTCCAACCACCGAGGGCCTAGCGCCTGCCCGAGGCACGGGCCTTGGCGGCCCCCTCCTCCCATCTGCCAGGTGCCCCGTGGCGGGGGCGGCAGGCTCGCCCCACCCTGATCGGTCTTGGGGACTGTCCCCTATCGCACCCCGAGCTGTGGGGACCCGCGGTGGCGTCGAGCCCTTTGCAGGTGGGGTCCCCCTCACTCCCCAATCAGCCAGTGTCCAGCGGAGGTTTTCGCAGCCGGGGCTTCGCTGCCGCTGGGGAGGAGGGCACGGAGCTGTGGCCCCAGGCGGCTGGGCCCAGCTCGGCGGCCGGGCCCGGGGAGCAGCCGGGGAGGCCCCGCGGCCTGGTCCTGCGAGCTGGGCCCCCACACTGTGGTTCGTTGTTTTGTTTAGGACTCTGAGTTCCCAGAGCGTCCGCCCTACCCAAGGTCAGATGTAAGTACAAGCGCTCACGGCCCAGTTCGCATGACTTTTATTTCTTCACCTCCTTTCCTGGACCCCCACGCCGCCGCTCTTGTCCCCCTCTGTCCGGACGCTAGATGCCAGGCACTGCGCTGGGAGCCCGACTCGGGCCGGGGACCCGGCCCCGATGTGTGTCATTGGCCCCATTTACGAGGGCAGGACGGGCGGGCTCACCCAGTCCGGTAACTTTCTGCGGCCGCAGCGCAGCCTGCGGGGTGGTCCGGGGTCCCGCTGATTCCAGGTCACATCCTGAGAGGAGGCTCGTGAGGTCTCCAAGTTAACCAGGCAGCTCCCCATCCCTGGGCGCGCCTGCACCCTGGCTCTCCTCACGGGCCACCCTCCCCGCCCCTGCCCCGCCCCCCGCCCCCCGCCCACCAAGGCGCGCAGGGCGTTGCCCCCCGGCTCCACCTCGGTCGGAAGGAGGCGGACGCGCACTTCGGGAACCCGCGGCGTTGGGTTGTCCGGCCGCCCCCCGCCCCCGTCACCCCGGGGCCCCGCGCTTGTCCTCGCCCTCAGCCCAGCCCCCCGCCCCCGCCCCCGCGCCGCTCCCACGCCCGCTCCCCCAGCAGCCTTTCTGGGCGTCGTCCCCCCGACCGCGGGGTCGCGATGGCCTCTCGACAGCCCAGCCCTAGCGCAGTGCCTGGCGCGCGGCAAGTGCTCGGTCAATGTCGGCTGTGTGAGTGGGCGGGCGCGGGGTCAGCGGCGATGGCGGGCGACGAGACCGCACGCGTGTGGCCGACTCGACTGTCCTCCACGGCGGGGAAAACGCGCTCCGTCCCGGGCGAGCCCGTCACCCAGCTGCGGTCAAACGCAAGCGCGTCACAAAGCCAAGACGAAAACCACGGTCCCGTTAGGACAAAGGAGGGGCCCAAGACGAGAAGCAGGCGGGCGTAGGACCCACTCGGGGGCACAGAGCAGGGAAACGGAGGGAAAGGCAGCGCAGGCGCATGAGGGGCTTAGAAGGCGCAGGAGGGTCGTCGGCGCTGTCAGGGCCCGAGCCGGCCGCGCAGTGACCCTGATGTGCAGACAGCAGGCGACGACCCACCACTGCGCCCCGACCGCAGGCCCGCTCCTCTCCGTAACCCGCGAGCCGGGCCTCATCGCGGGGAAGCTGAGGCTCAGGCTACGTGCTCCTCTCTGGGCGCGTGGCCACAGGCGTCCAGACCGCACTGGGAGCCAGGGGGGTGGACTCCCACAGCCCAGAGGCGAGATGAGGGAGGAGGGCCGTGCGGGGCCCTGCGCCCGTGCGCCGGGGCAGGCGCTCCGAGCCAGCATCGCTCTGTCCGCTGCTGGAAGACACGTTCAGCCGGCGTGTGACACGCGTGGCCCGCGCCGGGCCCGTGAGCCCCGACCGCAGACGCGCCTTCTGAGGCGCAGCTGAGCGGGAGCTGGGGGTGCCCACGCACACGCGGGGCAGAGCCTTCCCGTCGGTCGGCGACCCTCCTCCCGCAGAGCCGTCCTGCGGCGCCCGGCCCTGGACGGGCTTGGGGCCCGGGCATCGCAGGCTTCCCGCTTGGGCCACAGGGCTGGTCCCAGCCCTGTCCTGGCTGCGGGGCCCTTCCTGATGCGCAGCCGGCCAGAGGCAGCCGCCCGCCTGCCCCACCCGCCCGGCCTCCGCCTTCCGACCGGCAGTTGTGATGCGAACGGTTTTCTCTGTGTCCACTTGCGTTTTCATATGTGGTTTGTGTGTGGTTGCAGTTTTAACGTGTGAGTGTTTAGGAGACGCTAGGTCTGACATCCAGGAGCCCTTCGGGGCCACGTGCCTCAGTCTCCATCTTCACGCTGCGACACCCACAGGGTGCGGGGCAGTGGCCTGGGAGAGCTGTGTCGTTTCTCGGTGTCAGGAGGTCAGTTTACCCAAGAATCTGGAACCAACCCGTCCACTGCCACCGTCATCTTAGTGCTCGTGCGCAGGCCAGGCACTTCCCGGCCTCGGGGCTGGGACGTGGAGCAGGTCCCTGAGGGGCGAACAGCGCCTCTGTGTCCCTGCAATACCCGCCCAGGTACGGGCGAGGCTGGCTGGTGCCGGTCCCACCAGGCTCCGTCTCAGGTCCCTAGGAAACCGGGGTCCCTGGAGCTTGGGGGGGCAGCCTGTCCGCCCCGCCGCCCCAGGCCAGGGCGCAGAGGGCCTGCCCCTGGCGCGCGCACACGCACACACATGCGCCGTGCAGCCACGCGGCGCCACACTGCACCCCCGTTCCCTAAGCAGCTCACGTTCAGGAAAGCCCTTCCTCCCCGTCACCCGCATGCACTCCGGAGCCCCCGTGACAAGGGTGGGAGACGGGCGTGGCAGCCCTGGGTCTCCAGGGGCCTGAATACTCTCCGCAAAGGCGCCCCCACTCCCTGGAGACCGCCCCCCACCAGGGAGCTCACACACACAGCCCGGGGGCAGCAGCTCAGCAGGCAGAGGGGGTGCTGATCCCTCTTCCTTCCCTGTGTCTGGAGCGCAGTGGGGCTTGCAAAAATAAAGATAACTTGTACTTCTCAAAACTTAAATTCACATGCACTCGCATCCCGAATTTTCTCTTGGAAAAGTTTGCTTGATTTCCTCCCCACCATGCAAAATAGTAATTCCTTTCCATTGCCCTAAATTCGCTTTTTTTCCTATCTGTGTAAAGCTGTCTACTCCCAGGATTTCTGAAATGGGTAAATATTTGGCGCATCCTAGCCACATGTCAATTTACCACATACCTTTCACACACCTTTATTTTTCTTGGAAAGCTGTGTGTCCTGAATTTAATGCCCATGTTGTTAGAGCTGACGATCTTTTTCTTTTAGATTTTATTTACTTTATTTATTTAGAGAGAGGGAGAGAAACATCCATGTGCGGCTGCCTTTCGCATGCCCCGAACTGGGGACCTGGCCCGCAGCCCAGGCCTGTGCCCTGGCTGAGAATTGAACCAGGACCCTTTGGTTCGCAGGCCAGTGCTCCGTCCACTGAGCCGCACCAGCCGGGGCTACAGCTGATGATGTTAAACACGGGGCCCAGAGGATGGGGCGCTGGTGCTCGCAGTGGGCACTCTTGAGCCTGGCTTCCTATGCAGGGCTTCACGTCCCTCCAGCGTGGAGTTCGACGTCCCCTTGTTTGGAGACCAGGGCGAACAGCCTCAGTGAAACCCTACCTGATTGGCACGGCCAGCAGTCGCGGCATTTGCCTGGCTCCAGAAGCTGCACGATCCTCATCGCTGTGAAAACCATGGAGTCGCAGGAGAGAAACCGCAGAGACGGGCGAAGGGAGGAAGCCCCTCCGTTGTGTTTTGGTCACGTTTGTACGGCATGTGTGGGTGTCCTGTGCGCATGTCTGTCCTGTGTGACTTTGGCATTCGCCCTGCGTGGCGCCAGGAGCCCCTCGCGTCCTGTCTGCCGGCCCAGCTGGCGCGGCCCCACCGCGCACTCCTCCGCGCTGCTCTGCGACCCTGACACCCCCAGGCTGCACCTTGAAAGTAACCCTGCGGTGAATTTCTGCGCACGTCGGTCAGAATTTGCGGCAACCTCTTCAGCCTGGGATCCCAAACGCGGAGCGAGCGAGGCAGATCTTCCGAACCCTCCTGGTGAAAATCAGCATCCCTTCCATTGCCAGCGTCTCCTTAAGGGCCGGAGCGTGGACCGAGTCCCCCTGTGCTGTGTGTCCGTTCCATGGGACACCATCAACCCAAAGTGTAACACGGGAAGCCTTTGAAGCTGCGAGTGTGCTCACAGAGGCTCTGCATACACACACGCACATGCACTCGTACATGTGTGCCTGCCGCAGCAGCTGTGTGGCGGCGGGAAGCCGGCGGCAGCAGCTGGGGCCTCGCCGGGTCCTTTCCATGAGTGGGAACCACACGCACTGCGGCAGCTGCGTTCACACTGGCCTGGGACAGCAGCCTGACCACTGGGGTTTCAGTGCTGTCCGCCTGTGTAAAATGCTGTGGGTGATGTGTGGGTCACATCCCTCACGGGTGAGAAATAAAATCCACTGAAGCCACAGTCTGCCCTAAACTAAAAAGAGGAACGGGACCAACGGCCAGACAAGAGCTTCCCCTCCGGACGTCCTCCCTTCCCCTCCCGGCTGCTGGAACACGCCGCCGCCGGGGCGCGACGTCCGCGCACGTTTTCAGAATTGTGCCGACACGAAAGGAGGGGCACGCCGCTGTCCTCCACAGCTCAGCACAGAGCACGGCTGCACGGCCAGCAAGGCGCGGGCCTGTGTCCTGGCGCCCCGGACAAGCTGTGCGCCCCTGACAAGCTGTGCGCCCCGGGCAAGCTCCTCGCCTTCGCCGATCCCTCAGCTGGTCAGCACGGCAGAAGTGGCGGCAGGGTGTCCTGGGGACTGCGTGTTTGCCGTGCTCTTTGTGCGGTGCTTGGTGTGTGGTTGGCATGAAATAAATAGCAGCCGTCGGTGTCCCACCCATGTGGGCCAAGAGGGGGGTCTGCCCTCGGTGGCCTTGGGCCATCAGGGGTTTTGGCAGCGGCTGATAAGTGCCCCTTTTCTCTCATAGCTCACAGACGACAGAGTCACAGCTGAGTCCTTAGTGGCTTGTGCCCTACGCTGGCAGGGTCGTCGTCAGTTTTGAGGAAAGATGTGTTTTACAAGTTAGCCGCGAGGCTTCGGGTGGGCCCGAGTCCTCCGCAGGGGCAGCGGCGGGCAGCGGGGGGACTGGGCCGACAGTCACGGCAGACCAGCCCGTGCTCGCGGGCCCCTCGTGCAGAGAGTCCTGAGGGCGCCTCTTGTTGTGACGAAACGTGCTGGGCTGCAGCTCCCCCTGCGGGGTCCCCCTGCTGGCGGCCGTGCACGCGCTTAGTGGGTCTGGGGCGACGCTCCAGCACACGCAGCCCCAGCGAGGATGCTGCGCGGACGCAGATTCTGCCTAGTCCTGACGTCCACCTGCCGGGCACGGTCCTGCGGTGATGGGGACGCAGCCGCATGCAGGACAGACAGACGCACTTGTCTCCGCAGTTCTCGCCGCCGCCCGACATCCTCCGTGTGTGTGTGGACGCAGACGCAGCGTGACCCTGTTCAGTCGCTTTACCTGTTGTTTGCTCTACCTAGTTCATGCTGCACTCACTTTCTTCGTCGTCGGGCGTGAGAAGAGCTAAGTCCTATGATAATGCCACCCAACAAAGCCTATTTTCTGCCCGAGCTGAACTAAGCAATTTTACTTGCATAACGTTCAAAACAGCGAAGTTCAAGCAGTTACGTAAAACGTGATGGAACGGGGTCGCTCAGCCTAAGTGCCAGGAGGGGTGCATCTCCCCATCCGCATGACTTTCCAGGGTCAGGCACATCCCTGCATTAATTAAACAAACGCCCCATTAACTACGCACATGAACACACACGAAAAGACAGTCCCTTGCCCGGGTCCCATGTCTCAGTGCTAAAATAAGATGTTCTGTGTTGAATCAGGTGGAAACCGCGACGGATTCCGACACGGAGAGCCGCGGCCTGCGGGAGTACCACTCCGTCGGCGTGCAGGTGGAGGACGAGAAGCGGTAACGCACCCCCGCCCCGGCCCCACGCGCCCCGCGGCATTGGCCGCTGCTCCAGCTCGGGCGGGCCCTCAGGGAAGCTCATATACGGGGTCTGGCACAAGTAACGCCTCTTTTTATTGCAAAATCGTAAGTGGTTCTGTCATATAGAACAGTGTCACACAAGCACACCCTGTGACATTTCCCGTGACACGCGCAAATTAAAACTATAAATTGTTACACCCGTACGATTACCCTGCCAACCCCACTCAACCAGGCCTTGCTTCTGCTGGACCCCGTATTTAAACCTCTCAAGTTGCGCCATTCAGAAGTGAATTAACATCTGTCCGTGTCTTGTTCTTGCAAGAGGGAGGGAAGACGCAGCCTCTGAAACCAGAGAGGCTGGCAGCTGGGTGTCTCCGCCCTTTGGCCAAAGGGGAAAATACGCTGAGGGGCAGCAGACGCCTGTTTTCTCGCCCAGGGCAAAGGAAAAAGAGAAACAGCGCAGCCGCGGAATGCAGAGGGCGGGGGCGGGGCCGAGCAGTGCCTCCAGCCGCGCAAGACAGAAACCGCCGCTACACTGGTGGTGGTTTTATGGCAAGAGCAGGGGTGTCGCTCTGTTTCATATCTAAAATAGTGCATCTTGTAAATTTCACAGACTCCCCGTGTGGGTCACCCGGGCCTGCCCGGGTCACGTCCAGGGAGCCCGCGGTGCGGGGCTTCAGGGTCCAGCCTAGGAGGACTCGGACTGCAGGACACCCAGCCACACGCGGACGCCTCCCAGGCCCCCGCGGGCATCTTAGGGCCATTGTCCCTTGCCCCCGGGACCGCCCGCCTGAGCCTCCCATCCCTGCAGCCGCTGGTGCCCGGGCCCTCGGCCCCAGGCGCGCATCTCCCTTCCTCCCCCGCAGGCACGGCTGCGCGCAGGTGGCAGGGAGCCAGGGCACACACCCAGGGCGCCGTCGAAAGGCTGATGCATGGAGCCCTCACCCAGCCGCACCTGGGCTCCGTGCCGGCCACCCGCTAGCGGGGTCTGTGACCCCAACGCGCCCCCGTGAAGTCCAAGTCTGCAGGAACGGACTCAGTGGGAGAGCACTGCGCGGTTCGGGGGGGCAAGGAGAGGACCCCCGTGGCCCCGAACGGGGAGTGAAGGGGCCACGGCTCAGCGGGCTGCGGGCGCGATCACGGGAGAGCAGCGGAGCCCCTGGTCGCCGCGGAAACACCCGTCCTCTGGGCCTGTCTCCACGCGGAGACTCGGGCGCATGCGCACGGTGCACATCTGCGAAGGCCCGCGCTCTTCGCAGGGGAAGCACCAGGTGCTAGTGGCCGGGAGCGCGCTGAGCCGGCCCTTGCGCAGGCGCACGTCCAACGGGGCATGAGTCTGAGCAAGGCCTCCTTGTCTCCTTCCCTCCCGTGCAGGCGCGGGCGGTTCAAACGCTCCAACAGCGTGACGGCGGCTGTGCAGGCGGACCTGGAGCTGGAGGGCTTCCCGGGACACGTCCCCACGGAGGACAAGGGCCTGCAGTTCGGGTCGTCCTTCCAGCGACACTCAGAGCCCAGCACCCCCACGCAGTACGGCGCGGTGCGGACAGTGCGCACCCAGGGCCTCTTCAGCTACCGGGAGGACTACCGGGCGCCCGCGGACACAGCCACCCTGCCCGCGCCCGAGCCCTGGTTGGAGCCGGCCGTGGACGTGGGGGACGGCGGGAGGGTGTCTCCCTGCCGCAGGGACGGCTCCTGGTTCCTGAAGCTCCTGCACACGGAGACGCAGAGGATGGAGGGCTGGTGCAAGGAGATGGAGCGGGAGGCCGAGGACAACGACCTCGCCGAGGAAAGTAAGAGCGGGCCAGGTGCGCAGAGCCGCGGGGGCCCCGGGCACGGGGCAGATGGAGCGGGAGTCGCTCGCTGGCGCCCCCGCAGCGCTGCCGGCGGACGGCCAGGCAGGGGCGGCTGGAAGGTGCAGAGCCTGCGGTCCCATGCGGTTGGCGGCACGGCGGCGGGGCCGGCAGCATCCCTGGTCCCGTCCTTGGCCTCAAAGGCCTTGACCCAGCTCTTGATCACAGCAGCAGCTCGGCATGGAGCGTTTCCACCGTTTCCTAGCGCCGCTTCTGTCCCGCGTTTGGCTTTATGTCACACAAAAGTGGGAGGTGGGAAGACGACTCCACAGTCAGTCGGCAAAGTGTCAGGGTCCGGCCCCGGGGTGGGCACCTCCACCCACTCCTCACCCTGCCAGCTGGTGGCCTCGGCCTCTGTGCAGATGGGATAGGCCCCGCTCCGCCTGCCGCCCGCCTGCCTGCGGTGCCCAAAGCGGCCCCTCCGCAAGCCGCCGGGTGCAGTCTGCACACACCTGCTGCCTGTGTCCCTTGTCCCTCTGCACAGATTCCTTCGTCCACGCTCGATCGCTCCACAGGGCCGCAGCGCAGGAGCATAGCTGACGTCTCTGGGGACCCAGCCCCGGCCTTGCGCCTCTCGGTGGCTGCCGTCATGGAGCGTGTCGGTAGCCCCGACAGGGAAGCGTCCCCACAAGGCAGTGACAAACGCCGTGACTGACCCCACAGGCCCCAACCCTGAGGCCCGGGAAAGCTCGCCGGTGCATCCGAGTTTAGCGGCCACGGCGTCAGCCAGGCAGAAGGGCTGCGGCGGTGTCCGCAGGCTCTGCCCCCCATGAGCGGTCTCACACACGTTGGCCTCAGGGACCCTCGCCAGGACCCCAGGGAAGCACTGCCCCTCCCAGGCGGCTGTGCCGGTGTGCCCTGCCCCTGCGGTCCCCGATCACCTGTCAGGGGCCTCCTTCCTGACATTTCCCAGCCGTTCATTGGGCATCGCCTCGCAGCTGGTCGCCTGAGAGCAGGTGTAAGTCACTCATCCCCTGGGGCGTTTTGGCACGGCTGTATGTGTGCACGTCAACCGGCGAGCTCATTCAAGGAAAACAGAATTGAAGATCTTCGTCACAAAGATGAAAGAGGAAAAACAGTCGCCTAAGCTGACAGGAAATTGGAATAAAACAGTCCTCTCCAGGCTGGAGTCCCCTAATGGGACCGCGGACGCCCCCGCCCCTCAGGCAGGCCTGCCACGCCCTGTGGCTCCCCTGCGAGGCACCTGTGAGGCCGCCGAGGCGGAAGGGCGCTCGGTGGGAGGTGCCATTGGCGGGTGCCCGCCCCAGGCCTGCCTATGAGATGCGGTTCTACGGCTGCTTCACCCCAAAAGCTGTAGTCGCCCCCCCCAGGAGTGGACGAAGTGGGCACGCTGCTCATCGCTGTGTTTGTCTAGCAACGCAAGCCCACACTTACCCTCGCATAGCTTCCCAGGGCCAAGCTGTTCACAGCGAGCGGGGGAAACTCTGAACAAGATGGCCGCAGAAAGTGCTGGAACATCGCAGACACACAAGAGGGCCAGCAGTACGGAGATTCCAACAAGGCCCCGTGGCGGAGGCGGCTCAGTGCTAGGCCCAAAAAGGGGAGGGGCTGGGCTGGGCCAGGACAGGCAGGCGGGGCGAGCCCAGCCCCCTGCTCTCTGGGAAGACGCCATACCGACATGGGCCCACCCCTGGGGACACGCGTTTCTCAAAGGATGGGGGGGGGTCTGTGTGTCCCCCAAGCCCAGCCCTCTGCTGTTGCTTGAGACCCTAGTCTGCTGGACGCTGCCACCACATCTGAGAGATCCATCGTCTGCCAGCAGTGCCTGCACAGTGTGTGGTGCGAAGTCCCACCACCACTGAGAGTCAGGAGTGGGGCGGCGGGAGGGAGACGCATAGACGCAGCCGACCTGGGAGCACGGCCCCAGCCAGGCGTGGGCGCAGCCGGGCGCTCGGGGAAGCGGGCACCCGCTGGGCGATTCCGGTTTCCGGGTGCCTCCGTCCCCTGCGGCTGAAGAGCACATGAGGCTATGTTGCTATGGGCTTCGGGCGCAAAGGACAGAGGCAACGTCCACTCGGTACCCGTGGAGACTTTCTCAGTTTCTTCAGTGGCCCAGCTGCCTCCATCTTCTCATGAACAAAGCACACACGTGATGTGTCCCGTCTGTACACTTTCCACATAAAACTAGCACCACAGTAATCACGCTCAGATGGTTCCCTAGCAATTTTTCAAAGGTAAGACGACCTTTGACCACCGTTGTAATTTTAAGAACAGATACAGGGTTGCAGATCATGGCAGTTTCAGAAAGGAAAGATTAAATTAAATGGCTTGTTAAACCAAAACTCTCAGCTCTGAATACGGAAATTTGCATTACAGAGAGTAATTTTTTCCCAAACTGTAATTTTATAATCACAGTTCACTGAACTGATGGAATGAATTTAGCTTCGTTCGGTCCCGCATGGTTAATAAACTTGTTTGCGAGCCCAGATGAGTGCTGGCTGGAGCAGAGCCACCGGGCCGCAGGCGCCCAGCGCAGCGCAGCGCAGCGGCAGGCACTCCCAGAGGGGCTGGGAGCCCTCCCTGCCCCTGTGTTTTGGAATTTTCACATTTATTATGTCAAACCAAACGGGCAAATGACAGAAAGCAAAGCTCCCCAAACAGGATGTTTTCTGAACTAGAAAAAACCACTCCACACCAGCAGCGGTCAAATTTATGGTCCATGGAGGCACACAACTATACGAGGAACTCACACCAGTGGGGTCTTTCCGAAAGTTCGGGAAGTTCTCTCGCCCCCGGAAAACTCTGCCCCAAATAGCAGTGATCGGAAGGCTGCCTGGTCAGACGCTGTGACAGGCTCCTCTAGGGAAGTGAGTGAGGGGCCCCGGGCTCACGGTCCTGTTCACACGGAGTCGGCGTGGAGGGGCCGTGAGTTTGGGGTTGGGGCAGGGCCCGCTCACAGGCCATGCTGTCGCCCCAGGGGAGGACAAGGACGTGGGCTCTGAGCGACGCACAGAGCCCGTCCTCAGTCTGGGGCGGCCGGGGGCCAGCGGGACTCGGGCCCGCGTCCGCAGTTTGCCCCACGTCGCAGTGCAGCGGAGCAGCTCCCGGAGAAGAGTCAGGAGCGCTGGCGCTGGCTGCGAGCAGGCCCAGTGCCTCGTGCACCACCCTGGCCGCCCTGCTCAGGACCGAGCTGAGCCGGGTGGACAGCCACTGCCCCCGGCCTCCCGGCCAGAACACGCATCTTGCCGCCCGAGGCCGTGAGGAGGCTGAAGTGTGAGACATGGAGGGAGATCTGGTCGTTGGGACTCAGGAGCCCGTTTCAAACCATCTGCAAATTCGACAAAAATCCGCATCAAAATCTGAAAGAACAGTGTGAATGTTGTCCTGGAACTTCACGGCCCACTCAGAACTGAGGGCAGTGGGAGACGTGTGGGAACAGAGTGAAGGGGCAAAGGAAGTTCATGCGTGGCCCCGAACACCCACAGCGAGGGCTGCCCCAGGGTCTGCCTGCCTGCCGATGAGCCTTTGTACCTGTGGCTCTTGAAGGACGACGTGGCTCAACGAGGACAAAACTTGGGGAGCCCGGTGGAAAAGAATGAGTTGCATTCTCACAGCAGAAGCGCAACAGCTACAGAAAGCTGTTTGCGTGGTAGGTTCTGGAGAACCGCCCCCACTCGTCCAATAGCAGGCCGTCTGCCCTCAGCCGCCCTCTTTAGGGCCATGCTCTCCCCAGCAACAGCCGGCAACGCCCTGCGTGAGCAGCTGCCCCACGGCAGATCAGTGCCAGGACATTGCCCGTCTGCCCGTACGGTGCTGAAGACAATAACCTGAAGCGCTTTATGTCATTACTGCTGTTGAATTCGACTTGGGGTGGAACGTGAGCAGAGGGGGTTAAAATGCTCGGTGACAGCAAGCTAAGTGTTGGGGTTCCATTCGCAGAGGACTGCGCTCGGGAAGAAGGACGTTTCTTCGTTGCTGCCATGTATTCCTGCAGCGGCGCGTTGGTCGAGACCAGTCTCTCTCGATGTTTTTGTCCACCACGTGGGTCACGAGGGTTACGCGTGGAGATTCCGTGTTAGAAACCAAAGCCAGTCCCCGCACACGGCAGCGGGGAGGCTGGCGCCTCAGCCAGCCATCCAGCAGGGGGTGAGGGGGCGAACTGAACACGGAGCAGCCCCGCGGCAGCCCAGCCCTCCTGTTGACAAAAGCCTTATGCGATTCATTCACGCTTCTTGTAAGTTACATTCTTCTAATCCTCACCCGAGGACGCATTTATTGGTTTTAGAAGAGGGAGAAGGGAGACACATCCATCAGTTGCTTACCGTATGCGCCCCAACTGGGAATCGAACCTGCAGCCTTTTGGCACACGGGATGGCGCTCCAACTAACCGGGCCACTGGACCAGGGCTGAAAGTAACACTTTTTAAACTCTTGGTATCTCGGAAGCAATCTAGCCTTAGAGGACGTCAGGGGACGAACTTGGTCTCAGGGATGGTAATGACGGGTGGCCGTGCCACGGTGACAGGGGACAGGCTCCAGAAATAAATGCACTCACGTGGCGGATTCTGAGTGGCGGCCATCAAGGCGTCTCTCACATGTTCCTTTTTCTGCACGTGGGTAATTTTCATATTAACACCCAGGAAAGCAACAGTCTAGGTTCAAGACAGACATAGAAGGAAGTTCAGCCCCTGCTGGGGCGGCTCAGCGGACTGGGCGCAGGCCTGCAAACCAAAGGGTCGCGGTTTTGATTCCCAGGCAGGGCACAGGCCTGGGTGGTGGGCCAGGTCCCCAGGAGGGGGCGCGCAAGAGGCAACCACACGGGTTTCGATCCCTCTCTGTCTCCCTCCCTTTTCCTCTCTCTAAAAATAAATAAAATCTTTTTTTAAAAAGGAAATACAGACAAACTGCCTGTGGTTCCCCGTGCCCAGGAGGAAGTTGCTTTTAAGAGCAGGCTGCGTGACTGGCCAGAGCCTCGCTTGTTAAACAGTGGCACCCGCAGCTGAGAGCTTGGTCCTCACACCCACAGGCCAGGCCCCTCCAGTCAGTGGGCTTATGTCGGGGCCTTCAGGACCTCGCTGTGTGCGTGTGAAGATCCCTCCACTCTGCACGATCCCCTCTCCCCCGCCTGAGGCCAGGACAAGAGACAGCCAGTCCCATGCTGAAGGAGCCTCACGGGTAGTTGGTTTGGAGACTCCCTGTTCAAATCACCAATGTTTGGGAAAATGGAGAGGAGCGGAATTGAGGTTTATTCTCTGGACCCCATTTCCACCCCGTCAGACAGTCTCTCAGACCCGGGTGGTCGGTGGCCCCACGGGCCCATGGGAACCCCTGGGTGCTGGTAACGAAGGCCCAGCCTCAGGACCCCAGACCCTCAGGGAGTCACCGGCTGCCTCCGACCAAGACCCCGCCCACTCGGGCTCTGGCTCTGGTGTCTGAGCTCTCATCGCTGTCCTTTCTAGATGAAACCTCGAGTCCACAGATGTCCCGTCTCAAAGCATGTGGACCCGTAAGTACGTGACTGGCGCATCGGTGGTGGTGGGCGCTCTGCTCTGGTGGCGGACGTCCCGTCCCCTCCCACCTCTGCCCAGCCCCCACCCGTGACCGCCTGAGAGACCCACCGAGTCTTACAGGGCCCGGCGCGGTCAGCAGGCCGCTCTGTCCTGAGCGCGCAGAGGGGAAGGAGAAATCGGGTGGGTGGGGTGGGCTGCCAGGGAGGCAGATGCTGCGGAGTAATTTCCGGAGGCGGGGACGGATGAAACCCGCTGTAGAGGCGGGGTCCGGGCTCTGCCAGTCCCTGAGTGCTTTTGGGAATCCTGCGGCTTAGGGTCGACTGGAGCTGCCGCTTCTAAAATCTTGGGAGTGCTCACAGCAGGCCAAGGACCCAGTGCGTGAGCGAGGGAAGGGGGACGCAAGGGAATGGCGGGGCGCTTGGGGGCCGGGGGGCCGTCCCCTCCCTTTCATGCGGAAAGCATTTGATTTGCCAGTGAAATCCCAAAGTGGCCACATCGATCCTCTAATCTGTTCAGTTCCACTTTTACAAAAACTACCATTTGATTCACTGAAGTCGTGCCACTCAGATGTGACCTGCAGGTTTGCTGAGCCACACAGCGCGGGCCCAGCGCCTGGTGAACCCCCCGGGAGCCCTGGTGGGGGGGGGGGCGTGTGGTGGTAGCGGGTGATGTGGCGGACCCCCAGGAGGGTGTCCGCGGGTGGGGGGCAGGGCGGGGGAACGTGAGAGCCAGCGTGGCCCCCACGGGCGAGGCCTCGCGCCGCTTTGCTCGGACGTCCTGCCCACAGTGCACTGGGCGTCGCTGCTTCGCGTCGCTTGGAATAACAGGAAAGCGGCTCTCTAAGCATCAGCTGCCGCAGAGAGCAGACTCACGGGGGGCGGGCCGGAAAGTGAGAGACCCCCGTGCCCCCTCCGTGCCCCCTCCGTGCCCACCCTGGCCTTCCCGCTCATCCGACCACCGACTCCAACACCGTCTTGGGGCCCCCGAGAGGGAGAACCCCTGCCGTAGGGACTGGCTCTCTGCCACTGGAGGGCCGCGTCCTGAGGGTGGCACGCGCGTCCTGGGATGTCCCCCTGAACCGGGGACTGAAAAGCGCTTGTTCGGTGGACAGTGTGTGTGTCTCCAGTGACTCCCCTGCTCAGGGCTTTAGCTTTTGTTTGTTCATCAACACACTTTAATCCCGCTTCTTTGTTTCTTCTGAACAGTTCTTGGTAAAATCCGGAGCGCGGTGGGGAGCGCCCAGCTTTTGATGTCACAGAAGTTCCAGCAGTTTTACTGGTTGTGCCAACAGAACATGGTGAGTGAGCCCTGGCAGCCGCTGCCCTCCCCCTCACGTGCCCTCTTCTGCCTCGTTCCTTAAAGATGCCTTTGCGGCCCGACTGGTGCAGCTCAGAGCGCCGCCTGCGAACCCAAGGGTCCTAGGACGACTCCCAGGCAGGGTACAGGCCCGGGTTGCGGGCCAGGTCCCCAGCAGAGGGCACGCGAGAGGCAACCACACAGGGATGTTTCTCTCCCTCTCCTTCCCTTCCCAGCTCTCTAAAAATAAATAAAATAAAAATATTAAAAGGAAAAAGAAAAAGACACCTGTAAGTTTGCAGACAGCACAGAAATAGGATACGCCTGGCCTCGAACAGGCGACCGGGCTCAGAGGCGAGGGGACCGGGTGTTGGTGGAGGAGGGGGCGGGGCCTGCGGGAGACGGGCTTCTGTGGGAGCTACTGCCGTGCACTGGCTACCGGGGACCGAGGAAAGGAGACGAAGGAAACTGCTGTCACGGCAGCCGTCACACGCGAAGACAGCGGTATGAGGCGGCTTGAATGAAAAACACAACCAAACGCATTTAAAGAGACTAAGAAGAGATTTCGGGAATCATCGGGGCGTCCCGGTTCGCAGTCAGCAGTGACGTGAGGGTGCCATTGAGCGAGGTCATTCACCACAGGCAGTGTCAAACCCGGTCTGATTTTCCTGGAAATCAGGGAAAGAAAAACCATATCATTTCAGAGGCCTAGCCATATATATGTTTATGTGTGTGCTTGTGGTGTATAGCTGTGTATAAGGACATGTATGTGTACAGATTTCCTCATCTGACTAAAGAAAATACCATTTGGAGAAATGACAGCATTCACATTACTTCATAGGCCATTTTATAATCCATACATTGATCTCTTTCAGACCGAACATTTCCATTAAAATGCAAATGGGCCTCTGCTAGGCCTCTTGACGCAGCCTGCTCCACAATTTGTGATTTGGTCGAGGTTTGGTTTGGTTCGGCTCTTTAATTTGCAAGGAGACAGTGAATTGACGGGGTGGTCTTATGCATCAAAGGGAGCCTAGCGCCTCGGGGTTGACAGTCCATCCCTTTTCATTAGGATCGTTTAAAGGTGCGCTTTCTCTAATATTTCCCAATTAACCCTGTTGAAGTTCATCGTGCAACTTGAGGCGTTTCCGGAGTCTTGCTTTGACGTGAAGTCACGACCAGTGTTTCAAAGCGGGAAGCGGAGCGCGGGGTCCTGGAGAGAAACCAGCCGCTGGCGAAACTTTGCGCTGTCACTTCCCCCCGGGGCGCCCTGGCCCCCGGGCATCTCTGCTTAGTTGTCACCTTTGAAGGGGTCGAGCTGTGCCCTGTCACCCGCGTAGGGTAAGCGTCGCCTGCTGGAGTATGCTGTGCGAAGCGCTCTCCCTGGAGCGCAGGCTGCTCGGACCGCGGCTCAGGGTCCCCGCCTTTGTGGTTGGAACTCGAACTGCATCCGGACCCACTGGGCCTCGCTCTGCATTGGAAGCCAAGGTGACCGCAGTCGAACGAGGACGTCCGGGGCGTCTTGGCTGTGCGGAGGCCTGGCCGTGGCTGGCGCCTGACACCCGGGGTACCAGGATGCCCAGGGGGGCCAGCCGTGCCACCTCCCAGGTCCTGGCTGTGCAGGGTACGCGACGCAGCTCGAACTCTGCTACAGGGAGCATCGGGGACAACGGCCTCGTCGGCCCCACGGAGTGACCGTGAAGACTGATGTCTGCCCGCGGGGGACGTGCTCCGGGACCAGGCGCCGGAGTGCAGCCACGCAGCCGGCAGCGCGGCCACAGCCAAACCGGCAAAGAGTGGGCCGTCCTCGCGTCTGGGGGGCTTCAGAGGGGCGCGCGGCCCGTTGCCCCGGGGGTCAGACTGGGGTGCCGCTCGCCCTCGGCGGTGACATGGGGCCGTGGGGACCAGTCGGCATGGGCTGCTGCGTGTCCCTGGAGGCAAAGGCTGAGCAGGCGCGCGGCCGGCGGGCCGGGGAAGGAGGCGCGCGAGTTCCGCAGGCCCGCGTCTCCGCTGTGATGGGCCGCGGGGGCCCCCTCGTGGCCGCGCCCTGCAACAGCCTCCCTCGCTCAGGACACGCATCTGCTGGGGGCGGGGCGGGTTCCGGAGAGTCGCCCGGGCGGCGCGCACCCGCAGCCTCGCCGTCAGCGACCCCCACGCCCCCGAGGCTGCCTGCGTCCCTCCGGCTGCCTCCACAGAAAGGCATCGGGGTCCAATAGCGACCCTTTGGGCATGGACGCAAAGCCAGGTTGCTACTGACCGAACGTCCCTGTCCCCAAATTCAAGTGTTGGAATCCGGAGGTGGAGTCAGGAGGGGGGGCCTGGGGGTCATCAGGTCACGAGAGTGGAGCCCCGCACAGGGCTCCCTCCCGCTCCCGCCCATGGGACAGCTCGTGGGAAACGCCTCCGTGCGCCAGGAGGAGGACCCGGGACCGCAGGTGAGCGCGGGGGTTGGAGGAGGCGACGCGGACACCTGAAAGGACCCGAGTTCCTGTTGCGCTTGATGGGAGCGAGGTACAAGGAAGGTGCAAAGCGCGCACTTTGAGCTGATTCAGATCAATATTCGCCCGCCAGAAAAAGTTCTCCGTTTGAGGGGAGAGGCCCTCGCCGCACTGCGGGGCCGCTCGCGCGAACCCCTGACGCGGGGCTGCCAACCAGCGCAACCGCCCGCAGGCAGGGGCCGTTGGGCATCGCTGCGCGCGGCGGGACGGGCGGGGCGGCCCGGGTACGCGACCGAAACATGCCGCCAGGCGGCGAGTGGAGGGCGAGGCGCGACCAGGCGACCAGACCTGCGGCAGGCGTCGCCGGTCCCCGCGGGGCGGCGACCCGGGAGCGTCCTGCGCCTACGGATCTCGCGCGCGCTCTGCACGGGCGCGGCTGCCGGCAGCGCCGAGCTTTGAGGCAGGGTCGCCAGGCCCCGCCGTTCTGTGCGCGCACCGCGGCCCGGCGGCTTCCGGCGGGTGTGCGCCTGGGAAACTTTCCCACCTGCCGCCGCGCCCGGTCCTGAGAAGGCGCTGCCAGAATGAAACAGTGACGCGCACAGAGCGAGCATGTAACTTTAATAGACGTTATTTTTTAGAGGAGTTGCGGGTTCGCAGCTGAGCTGAGGAAAGAGCTGAGGTTTCCCACATCCCTGCCCCCCCCAACCCACAGCCGCCCACCATCCGCGCGCCCACCCGACAGGACATGATGTCCCTGCCCCGGCACATCAGCGTCACCTGAGTCCGCAGGCGACAACAGGGTCGCTCTGGGTGCTGGACGTTCTGTGGGTTTGGACAAATGACCGACGGCGTGTGTCCCTCCTCACAGCATCTCCCCGGGCAGATTCCCACCATCACCGTCAAGTCCTCTGGGCCCCCCCCCCCTCCGCAGCCCCCGACCGGTCACCATCCCCGTGGCTTCACCTTTGCCAGGGAGTCACAGGGTTGGGCTCACGCAGCCTGCGGCCCCTTCAGGTTCTAAACTGTCAGCGAGCGCTGTGTGAGCTGCTGTGGGTCCTGTGGGCCCTGGCGGGGGGGGGGGGGGTGTCAGAATCGGAATTCGGCCACGCCCCCGCCGCGTGGGCTCTGAGCCCCGCTGCTGTGTGTCCGCAGGACCCCAGCGCCATGCCCAGACCCACGTCCCAGGACCTGGCCGGCTACTGGGACATGCTGCAGCTCTCGGTGGAGGACGTCAGCATGAAGTTTGACGAGCTGCACCAGCTGAAGCTCAACGACTGGAAGGTGGCAGAGTCCCCGGACAGGAAGGTAATGGACCGAACCCACGGCCGCCCCCGCGGCCGTGTCCCCGGACGCTGCTCCGCCAGCCTCCCGTGTGAGCCAGGGCCCGGCGGCCTGAGCGCGTGCCCGTGGGTGCGTGGGTGCGAGTGTGTGCGCGCGTGTTTGGGCACAAATCCGAATACGCAGGGGTGCAGTTGGAGGTGTGGGCCCTGCGCAGCAACGCTCTTTCCTGAGGAGCCTCTAGGGAATGGCCAACAGGGAGGACGCCAACGAAGGCCGCGCGGCACCCAGTCTTGTGTCCTGGCAGGGTCCGTCCTCGGAGCTGAGGCTCTGCGGGTCATTCTGAGGTCCCTGCGGAGTCGCAGCGCCAGCCTCCTGTCTCCCTTCAGACAGGCTGCCTAGCGCGGCGGCCGCTGTGGAAGACACTTTGAACCTTGCTGCACAGTCTGACTCCGTGAACTTTCATCTGTCAGCGCCGGCCCTTCAGACAGGCTGTTTCCCATCAAGTGTGAACCTCATGATTTTATTTCTTCCCTTAAGCTGCTTTCTTCGCTAGGGCTCCCAGGGAAGGGTGGGTTAGCCGTCAGTACGCCGGCGTTCTACCACGTTTCAGAGACGTTCTGAGTTACCCCGCTCTGACGTTTCTAACCAGACGTGATTAGAATAAAAGGATAAGGAAACTCAGCCGGGCAGACGCTGGGCCAGTGCAGGGTAACACGCAACTGAGGACGTGCGTCTCGGTCGTCACCAGCTCCTGTCCCCAGAAGGCGGCCCTGCCGGCCTCGGTGGTGCCAGGCCAGGCACCCAGGAGCCACAGCGCCGACCGGCCTGCCTTCCGCCCCAGGGGGCGGCACCGGGGCGGCGGGGAGCCAGGAATGGCCGTCAGGCGCCCCGGTGGCCCAGGGTTTACCCTGATGTGCCGGGGACCTGAGTAGTGAGCTGAATGCTCGTCTGTCAGACGCTAAGAGCAGAGCCCACGGAACGAGCCTGAAGACACGCAGACTCGTCCCCAGTCCTCGGTCACTGATGGCAAATATAACCCCGCCCCTCTCAGCTTTGCCTGGAGGGCGGTGCCCATCCAAGGGCGGTTACTTGCCAAGGACACGGCCCTGCCCAGACGTGAGCAGGTGGCCACCGCAGAGGCTCCGAGCCGTGTTCTCGAGACCCTGCTCCGCGGGGCCGTGAGCCCTCCGCAGGGAGACCCCCAGGACTGCCCACTCTGTGTTCTCCAGTCCCATGTTCCGGAGGCCACAAAGAGGAGGGGCTGGCAGCCAGAGCTTAGCGCAGAGGTTAGATCTGGAAACAGCTGACCCGGTCACCCCATGGCTGTGATGCAGCCAGAGAGTCGGGGGTGGGGGGGTCGCACTCCGGGCCAGCTCACATCCAGACAAGCGCTGGGGGCCAAGTCTGGCACCCAGAGCAGCCCCACACAGCCCTGGATCCCTCCGCGGGTGCCCACCCGGGGTGGCTGCGCTGCCCCTTCTGGTCCCCCGCACCCAAGCACCTCTGGCCCCTTTGGGTTTCTAAAGAGGCTGAAGGGAAAAAACACAGGACTAGGCCGCACCCGCCACAGCCCGATACCCTCCAGGCACCGTTTCCTGGGGAGGACGCAGGGGCCAGGAGGGTCCCCTCCCCCCCAGGAAAGGGGGCGGGGCGGGTCACAGCAGCTGGGCGGGGCCTGGGCCCTCCCCGCGCCGGGCAGGGCCCAGGGTGGAGCTCCCTGGCACGTGCTGGGAAACGGGCTCGGGGTCGGAGATCTTTTACGAGAAATCATTATACATATGGTTAATGTTGGGGGTTATAGGCACGTGACAGAGACAGTGGCCGGTGGCTTCCCCAGACCCCCAAGAAGGACAACTTCCGAGGCTCCTTAGAACCAGAGTCCGGTCCAAAGGTGGTGGCACGTGGCACAGGTGTCCAGTGGCACCTTCCAAAACACCGAGTGTGGGAGACCTTGAGAGGGCAGGCGGATGCCAAGGGCAGTGTCCCCCGAAGGAGCAGACGTGAGCGCGAGCGGCTGTGAACCCAGGACGTGCAGAATTTCTTTGTCTGCAAACTCTGTGCTCGGGGCACTTGAGGGAAGTGACAAGAGGCACCCCCGCCCCCACGGGAGGGAAGCAGAGCAGAGGCCGCCTTGGCCGGGGCCAGCGGCTGGAGTGGGCGGTGACGGGCACGCAGCGCAGCTCCCCGCCCGGGGGGCCGCCTGACACCCCTAACCCTGTGCTCCTTGTGTTTTTCAGGAGGAACGGAAGGTCCCCCCGCCGATACCAAAGAAGCCCCCCAAAGGGAAATTCCCGATCACAAGAGAGAAGTCCTTGGACCTGCCTGACAGGCAGCGGCAAGAGGCCCGCAGACGCCTGCTGGCCGCCAAGCGGGCTGCGTCCTTCCGCCAGAACTCGGCCGGCGAGCACGCAGACAGCATCGAGATCTACATCCCCGAGGCCCAGACGAGGCTCTAGGCCCCGCCGCGGCCCCGCCCCCTCTCCAGCCTCCCGCCCACTCCTGCAGGCGGCCGTCTGCCCGTCCCCCGCCCTCGCCGTGTGTTCCGGGTGCCGCCGCCGCCGCAAGGACTGGTCTTTTTTACTTACGGACGGTGTGACTGGGCTCCAGCCGCGAGGGGCCGGCCAGCGACCCCGGAGGTGCCCCGTGCTCAGGGGAGCGGCCAGCCTCTGGAGATGGGACCCAGCTCACCTTTTGTTATTTCTATTTTTTATAACCTGTGAGATAATTAGAGGCAAGAATAACAAGTACAAACGGGTGCATCTCCCACTCCCTAGAGCGTTAGACCCCCGCGCGGCAGGCGCTGCAGCTCGAAGGGCGGGGCGACCCCCCACTCCCGCCCCGGCCCCGGCCGGCTCCCCGATCCCAGCTGACCCATCACGAGGTTCCTTGTGCCAAGTTCGTGGTGAGGAGAAGTCATCCGTCCGGCCCCCGAGTTCCCCACCACCTGCTTCTCTATAACCCGGGGGCCCAGACCTGAGCCCTGGGGAACGGCCAGCGCTGTCCAAACGTAGGTGACTGTTCCTCCCCGTGAGTGCGCGGGGGCCAACGGAGCGAGACGGGGTCTCGGGGGACGCCGGCCCCTGGGTGCCGGTGTGCGCCCGCCGCTGCCGTCCGGGCTCCCGGGAGGGGCCGCCGCCCGTTCCGGCCGTAACTCCCCCGCCGTCCGTCCCAGCCTCACCACCCAGACGCTGCGTGTGATTTTTTTTTTTTGTAGATGTATATATACTCAAATGGCTCTGTCAGTTGACTTTTCAGGGTATCCTTCAAAACACAAAACAACAAAAAGTTTGCTTGTTTAAAACGACAGTTGTGATGTAAAAAGTGGAAGAAACCTGAACGTGAGTGGTACGTCTCTCAGTTTAAACGGTGAGGAAGTGCGGCTCCCATGGGCCCTTCTCCCGACCCCTTCGCGCTACGCAGTGTCGCCGAGTCCAGAGTCTGTGTCTGGCCCGTTGTGGACAAGGACGGGGAGAAGGTCACGCACTGTGACATCCAGCCCTGGGCTCGGAGACTGTGGTTTCCGGGACTCGGACTGGCACCTGAGAGCGGTAGGAGGGACAGAGCAAAGGCTTCCGTTGGCGTCAGTAAATCTAGACGTGGCCACGTCCTTTCTGAGGCGGAGCCTCTCCGATTTATCTGTTTGATCCCAAACTCAGAGGCCTCCCTGTCACGCAAGGTAAAAGCAGGACCTCACTGAAGACAGATGTTTGCGCCCAATGCCACGTCTTCCGCCCCGCTGCTTTGGGCGGGGCTTGGTCACACAGGGCCCCGTCCCGGTCCCCCCACGGTAGCACTTTGTCCCGTTCCCTGCCCCCCCCCCCGACTTGCACTTTAAGCCGTGCCCAGCCCTCTCCGCACCCGGCCACCTGGCGGGCGCAGCGAGGCGGGCGGCTGCCCTCGGCAGGCCCGCAGGTCCCTCCTCCCCTCCATCCCACCACGCATGGGGCTCGTCCGGGCGCAGTGGACTCTAAAGCATGTCTAGCTTCAAAGTTTTACTTTTCTAAAGCTGAGTAGTTAGGAATTCCCTGTAAGAACAAAACCCTGTACATTGAACCTCATATCCAGTATATATTTTACCAAACAGCCTTAAAATATATTTGGAAGCAAAAATCAGTACGAATGTATATCCTTGAAAAATGCAAAAAAAAAAAAGTATCCCTGAAATATTCTTCTATAATGAATCCTATTTCCCCAGAGTGTCGAAAGCATTTTTTTCTACCTAAATAAATACCTAAATCCTGGGTAGTGTACAATATGATGCTTCTTCCTATACTCGCTATACTATGGTACAAACAAGTGTATTTGCAAGTATTGGCATTTAAGACTTTAAAAACAGACCCTTTGAGATGAGCTGCTCTCTAGAAAGACCCCCGGAGTGTGCAGCAATGTGAATCCCCGGCGGAGGGGCGAGGTGCCCACTGGCCCACACGTGTGCCCCCCACGGCCGATGGGTCTCCTCTCCCATCCTTCTGCCTGTGCAAAAATACGACAGCAAATTATAAAATTAGACGATAATTATTTATTTTGGATCCCAGATTCATCCTGACTTGAATGAAAGTATTCACTGGATTGGGATTGATTTTGTTTGTTTTGCATAGTCATTTTTATCCTAAAATCCCCAAAAGTCTTGGCCTAACCCAGCCCTACCGCTCAATGTGACAGCAGCCACTGATGCGAAGTGGGGGACGGGGAGGGACCCGTCTGGCCCACCAGTCCCAAAGAAGGTCGCGGACCGGCGGAGCGGACGCCGGCCGATAGAGCGCTCCCTGACCCGGGGCCAGCGCGCGGTGCACTACCTTCAGCTCCTGTGCGGCGGCATCCCATCCCCGATGCAAAGATAAGCCATGTTTACATATTTATATGTAAAGAAAAATAAAACTGTTTAGAATACGCGTGTCAGTCGAGCTCATTTCTTTCTCACAGAGACACAGTGCCGGCCCACGGGGCGGTCACGTCAGCACATCGCAAATACAGTTTTAATTAGAGATCGCGTACAAGCCTGAGAACGCGTCGGCGGCCAGGACGCACCGTGCCTGTGTGCACGTCGTGAGGAAGGCTCCGGGTCCCAGAAGAGACGGCCAGTAGAGGCTGGAACGCAAGTGTCCCTCGGAAACCCTTCCCTCGCGGCCACGAGGGCTTCCTGAACCTCCGACATCAAAACACAAGTTCGGTGAACAAGATCCGGAAGGCGAGCCGGCCCGTCGCCCGAGGCTGTGGCTTGTGAACGGCTCAGCTCATCTCCTGCCCCTGCGTTTGCTCCCCTGTGTCTGACGCGAGAGGGTCTCTGCCTCGGACATCGTCCCCTTCTCTTCCTCACCAGGTTTATGTACCGGTCCCAGAATGGCGATCAGGAATCAAAGTTGACAAAATACCAAAAAAAAATCACGTTTTTGTTTCAGAGGAAGTGTGGTCAATGCTTGCATCTCAAGATTGATCCTAAAAACCTGCACTGTTAAACAGAACCACCGTTACTAGGAAAAAATTCACACAGCACCTTCAACGTCCCTCTTTTAGAAAAAAAATAGCCCCAAGTCCAGGGACCCAGAGAGCGGAGGGAGCCTCCGGGCCGGGTCCCGCGGCCGCGGCCCCAGCGTGCAGCACCGACGGCGCAGCGGCAGCCTTTCTGGGCCGTGCAGAGCCGCCTCTGTCCCGGTCGCCGCTGTCCCTGGGAGTCTGCTCCTGGCCCCGCCCCCCTCCTGTTCCGGGACGGCCTGTGGCGGGGACTTCCGGTCAGAGCGACCCCGGGGCAGCCCTTGGGGGGTGAGCGGGGCGGGGGCAGAGGGAGAATGTCCATTCCTAGCAGCCGTGACTCCGGCCGGCCCCGTGGCCAGGACGGGGAGGACCGGGGACACCCTCAGGGAGACGCCGGCCTTGGCCGGAAGGGCCAGCAGCCTCGTTCACAGCTCTGGCAGGACCCGGACCCTCCGAGCACCAGCTCTGCGGTCCATCGGGCACCGGCGGGTCCCCAGGCCTCAGGGGGGCTCACAGGGGCCGCAGGGCCTGTGCCCCTGAATGCGCGCACGTCACAAGGACCCTGAAACGCGGGCGCCCCGGCCAAGGCGCGCAGCCTCGGCCCCGGGAACGGGCCCACACGGGTCCATCCTGTGCTTTCCACGCATGCTCATCCCCCCTCCCTCCTCTTCAGGCTTGACCCTCCCTCGCTCCCTCTCTCCCGAGCGCCCACGCCGCGCACACTGCCCGTGGCACTTGCCGAGGGCTCCTCTGTCGTCTTTGCGCATGTGTTTGCATGCGTTTGAAAGCTGTGGCGGAGAGCAGGGTCCAGAACAGGAAAAGGGGGCCGCAGGCCGCAGGCGCAGGGGCCGCTGCTGGCCCGCGGGCCGTGTCACCGCGCGGGTGGAGCCGGAGACAAGCACGCGGCGCCCGCCCTCCGACTCCCACCCGGGGTCACGCCTGCCTGCGCCTTCGCCACCAGGGGCCCGCCTGGTCGTGCTCGCTCCGCCGGCAGTCACAGTGCATTGCAGGCCGTGAACGGAAGCCCAGGGACAAGGTGGCCTTCCCCACGGCAGGCCAGACTCCCGGCCGCACAGGGCCGCCCAGGAGCCCCCGGCCGGCCACACGGCCTGGCTCCCAGTCACACGGCCGCCAGCCAGTGAGCTCCGTGCCTCAGGTCTCCTGTCCCTTGTTTTGGTCGCGTAACCTGCAGATGAGTAACGCCTGGCTCTCAAATCCTTTGAGCGCCTGGGAAGCAGGTGGCTCTTCAAGGGGACGTGGCCCCCTTCTCCCACGCCGCCCTCCCGTGGGTGTGGGGTGCAAGGTCTAGTTCAGTCGTAGCCCCTCGGAATCCGGGGCCCAGCAGACGCAGGGCCCTCATCCGAGCGGGGTCTCGGCCGCAGCCGGCAGCAGGCGAGGGGCTTGGAGGCATGGGGGCCGAGAGGCAACCTCGGGCCATTTCTCCGTTCCTTTGGGCTTAGATTTCAAGGGTTTCTAGATGCTTCCATCACAAGAAGTTGGTGCCAACCGGAATCAGGTGATGTTTTCCCCCTACTTGAGCTCAGCTGCATCGGAGGCGAAATGAAGGCTATTAGCTGACCGTCAAAGTGATGAAGGAAAGTTAACTTGGAGCAGAAAGCTGAGCCCTCGCGAGGGCCAGAACGCGACGTGCTGGCCCAAGGTGCTTCGGGCCGCGAGGTCCGCCCTGTCTCCCAGCCCCTCGGTCGCCCCACGTCACACCGCAGGGTCCGTGGAGACGACCCCGACAAACGCCAACAACTGTGTGGACTGCTGTCCCAGCCCTGGCGTTTTTATCCAGCGATTAAGGACATTATTTCACGCTCTAGTCCCAACACTCGACAGACGACTTCTTTGCAGACGAAAGGACGTCTGGGACCCACGCTCAGCTTTTGAAAACGACTCCGTACCCGCACGCCCTGAGGCGACAGGGCTCCGCCTCCCTGCTCTCTGAGCTTTCCTGTGCCTTCCTCATGGGTGCCGATTC